ATAGACCAAAAAGAGATAAGATGCATTGAAAACTTGTACTGGCATCAAACGGCAGAGTTAAAAATAGACAATTCTATATCCAAACCCATACATATAAGAAGAGGCGTTCGACAGGGATGTGTGCTTTCTCCTCTTTTATTTAACATTTATTCTGAAGCCATATTTCAAGAGTCTTTGGAGAATGCAGAGATAGGAATCAAGGTGAATGGAGTATTGATCAACAACATACGATATGCTGATGATGGTGTCTGAATTTGTGACAACATAGTCGATCTTCAACAACTTGTCACTATAATCGGAGAATACAGTAAGCGAATGGGATTAGAGATTAATATCAAAAAGACCAAATTCATGATCATCTCCAGAAACTTGGATGCACTTGAAAACTCCACCATAACACTGAATACTAAGTCCATTGAAAGAGTGAGTAAATTTAAATACCTGGAATCGTGGCTTTTTGAAGGCTGGGCATCGGACAGGGAAGTAAAATGTCGCATTGAGCAAGCTCGACAAGTTTTCGTAAAATTCAATAAGGTACTGACTTGTTTAGAGTTCGATCTTCAACTGAGACTAAGGTTTAGTAAGTACTACGTATGGTCAGTGCTGCTATATGGCGTAGAGGACTGGACACTCAAAACGAGGGATATAAACAGATTAGAAGGTTTCGAAATGTAGCTTTATCGCCGTATCCTAAAAATACCATGGACAGCGAAAATCACAAATATAGATATCCTTAAAAGAATAAACCAAGAACGCCAACTTTTCGAAACCATCAAGAAAAGGAAAACGGCGTATCTAGGTCACATCATACGAAATGAAAAATATCAGTTCCTCCAACTTATAATCTAGGGTAAAATTGAAGGCAAGAGAGGAATGGGACGCAAGAAAATGTCCTGGCTCCGAAACATAAGGCAATGGACAGGAATTAACGACATACAATCTCTGATGCATATTGCAAGAAATAGAGAATTAATGGAAAATGTGATCGCTAACATCCATTAGTGGATTTGCATCTGAAGAAGAAGAAGAAGAATTTTTTTTTCATACTTCTTAACTTGGTTGTTATAACTGTCTTGTCCTCCTGGTGTTACAACTCTTTGTGATTTTTTGACTACTTAACAATAATATTCCATTCTGCAATGTCCGTTACTTTCCATCTCCACTGCCAAATGTTCGTGGTTTTAAGAACCTCCTCTACTTCTTTCATCCATTTTTTAAGGGCCTTCCTCTTGTTCTATTTCCTTGTGGATTCCATATTTGAATTACTTTTACCACTCTATTGTCTGGCATTCTTTCTAAACGAACAATGTCTGCGCTTTGCATTAATTTGTCCAGCCCGTAGTTCATTTTAATCATCCACGAACCATGGTTAAAATTGGTTGGTCCAAATATTTTTATTAATATTTTGATGCGCTTGAATGAGTCCAATACAGTTTCTGATAACGGATATATTTTCTTTTTAATATTGATTTCCAGCGAAATTTTGCTTCAAGTGTGCTACCTTATACATAAGTATTTTGTCAAAAATCCAATGTTTTGAATTTTTTATTTAGAAAATTAACGTGAATTAATTGAGATTTCCTTAATGTAATTTTCTGCTGCTTCTTCGCTGGTATCATCATTCTTCAAGTGTCATTTTCGTTACGAAGACCGTCTATTTTACAGACTGTTGTAAGCATAGTGTTATTACTGGCGTTAAATAATTTACACCGAGGTTTTTAATTAGGAATATCGTCTCCTTCTTATTCTTCTTCTTCCTATCAACCCATCATCTATCAACCCTTCTTCCTATTTACAAAGCGAGACGTGTGAATTAACCTGCAAAACTTTTGTAAAAGATTATATAAAACAAACATGAAACATTAAAAACATATACTCTAGTACATAGGTCTTTGTAGATTCCAATTTTGGAAAATAATTCAGTAGTATCAAAAGCAAATCTTTCTGTAGTACTGATGGACTATCCATAAAAATTTTCTTAAATATCGCAAAAAATGTGTTCTCACTAATTAACGACTTCTTTGAAAAAGGCCTTAAGGCCAGAGTGCCTTAAGATAGCCATTATTATTTCTCATCATAATTGTTGGTGAAAAATCTAATGTCTGCAACTATAGACCTATTGCCTTACTACCGGCCCTATCAAAATTATTGAGAACCTTATAAAAGCCCGACTTATGTCCTTTCTCGTTGAATGCAACATTTTAATACAAAGTCAGTTTGGTTTTTTATCTAATAAATGTACCAGAGCTGCTACATTTTCTCTACTACATGCTACAAGCACTAAACAATAATGTTTATACTGCCACTATTTTTTGTGACCATGCCAAACCTTTTGATTGTGTAAATCCCGAAATTTTGATAAAAAAACTAAATTTCTACGGAATTCGAGGTATTTCTTTGAATTGGTACCAATCTTACTTGAGGAATGGGAAACAACTAGTTAGAGCAAATGATACTGACTCTCCTTATAAAAACATTGTATGTGGACTACCACAAGGTTCAGTATTGGGTTCTCTACTTTTCCTTATCTTTATAAATCACTAACTTAAAGGTATGCCAAAGGTCAAATGATAGAATAGGTAAATTCCATAAAATATTTGGAAGCAAATATCAATAGTTAGTGTAATCAAAAAAAATACTATCAAGAATCCGAATGATTAGATGTTTTCTGTCTTACTGTATGGCTGTGAAAGTTGGACAATGGACTCTGAAATAGAAACAAGAATAGATACCTTTGAGATGTATATATACAGACGAATGTTGAGAATTTCATGGGTACAAAGACTTACTAATGTTGAGGTACTTCGTCGAATGTGTAAACAAAAACAATTACTAAGAATAATCAAAGAAAGGAAAATGCAATACTTGGGTTATGTGTTGAGAGGAGAAAAATATGAATTACTTCAAGTTATACTGGAAGGAAAAGTACAGGGCAAAATATCAGTAGGAAGATGCCAGAACTAATGGCTGAAAGACCTGAGGAGATGGTTCGATCGTTCATCCGCAGAAATCTTTCACGCAGCAATGTCTAAAATTACAATTGCCATTTGGATCGCTAACCTTCGAAAGGAGATGGCGCCATGAGAAGAAAACTTAAAAGGTTTCAGGTATTCTTAGCCAGAAGCCAGAAGGTTATACGAACTTTACTTTGCTTTACTTTACTAACTTGAAAATCGATGGGAAAATTTTTCTTTTTGTTGATGATGTCAGTATTAGCTAGAGGAACTCTAACATTGTAACTCTTCATGCAATCATAACTTCTGATCTACTTGTTCTGATCTACAAATAAAAACTTGATCCACCCTACTTTACTCTCTTTTAGGGTGGATAGGACAGTAGTATTATCCTATAAAGGAGCTCTTCAACCCTTGCTTCTTAATAACAGCCACATCAGTATCATTGCTATGCAATAAGATCTGTTTCGAAGGAAATCGATTTAGCATCTTCAAACATATTTTTCATTGATCGAGTCTCATCTTCGATATGGCCTACCTTTGTGGGATTTTAGTACAGCTGCCCAATCTGATGTTATTTCTAAATTACCAAAAAGATCAATACGGTATATTTTTGGCCTCAGTAGAATAACACATTGCACAAGCTATTCTTTCCTCTTTATATATTCTAGAAACTGTTTGCTTAATTCGTAAATACCTACATATTTTTCCCGCAAGACCTAATCATGACTACTCCACCAGAAATTCAACCTTTGATCTTTATTTACCGACTTCACTCACTGAGGTAATAAAGAAATCTACATTATATTCGACAAAAAAAAACATACAACCATATCCCTTTACAACTTAAATCTACAACTTCGTTCCTTAAGTTATGTAAATTGGCAAAAGCCTATCTATCTGAAAGACCATATTATTTTTATATATTTGGGTATCACATGCAGCAGCTTAAACTTATTCGTAAACTAGTTCGTAAGGTTTTCTTACGCAATTTGCAATTTAGTTAAATTTTGCAACGGATTGTGTATTTTATTATCTTTTTTGTGATTCTGTGATATTGACGATTTATGTAACTTAGTACATTTTAATTGTTATTGTTATTTTTTGACTTTTTGTAAGCTTTGTCCATAAAATTGTACAATTTTCAGTAACAATCAAGCATGTTTCTATTCTATAATTCAATTTGACAAACATTTTATTTCGTTCATTTATTTTTTAACTAAATTACGCTGCTCTTGGCATATACACATGATTTTTGTGGCATGTGTGGCGTACACACATGTTATATACATGAAAAAATGGTTGAAAATTAGGGTTACCAGCTGTTAAAAACGAGAGGTATCAAAGTATCCATTGAGTGAAGAATTCAGAAATAATAATATACCAACTTAACCAAATAATACTGGATAGCCATTATTTGAAACGAGTTAACAATTTGAAATACATTGGATGATGAAATAGAAGCATTTGTAATACAGACATTGCTTTACTACTGCGTATCTCATGGATTGGTTATTTAATTACTGAAGATTTGTAAGGCAGAGCTAAAACCTGACGTGAACTGTTACAAACTATAAAATAACGAACATATTCCCATTTGGAACATAATGAGAGCTGATAAGTCATGATGAGAGTTATTTAATTATGTTAAAATATTTACTTTCAGTTTTATATGTATGTAATATGTACATCTAATATAAATAAAGAAAGCTCAAATTGTAGAAATCTTATGGTCAAAGTACAATTTTATGGTCTAAGCTTACTTTTTGTAAGCTTTGTCCATAAAATTGTACAATTTTCAGTGACAATAAAGCATATTTCTATTCTATTCTATTCTAATGTTTACATTATAATTACTTTACTGAATTGCATCAAACATTCTGAATACTTACCTTAGTTTAGTTACTCAGAAATTTAGTAAAATAAGTTTTACGGTTCAGAAAATATGTTGAGAGGGGAAAGACTTTAGAAGCGCATTGTATTTTCGGCATTTTATAGAGCGTAATACCCTGAAACAAGTTCTAATCAAGTTTTTCATATTTCCAGCCGCTTATTTTTACGCCAGCGTCCACAAAGCGGCTGACAAACACGGTTTCCGGTTGAGAGATGAGACGGGAAGCGGAGAAGTAATCAGGAGGTACAGAAAGGAGGGAATCACTCTCACGCTGCCAGAAGGAAAGACCATACACAGCATCAAGATATTTTATCTTTGGTGCGAGGAATTTGACGTAAGTTTTTTTCGTGTTCTTTTAATTTAGAAAATTGCTGCGTACATTCATAAAGTACTTTTGCTGTAACTTCGATGTTTTATTGGGAATTTTAATGAATAAAAGAATATCTAACAAACGAGGAGAAAAAAATAGCAGTATTTTTGCTTTAGAATAATCTCAGTTTTTTCCTTTTTTTTTTTCGTTGAGTAAAAAATTATTGAAAACCACCAGATATTATTCGCCTAACAAAATAGACAAAAACATAACAAATTAAAAAAAAAAGTACTTTATTCAGTGACTTGACATTCTGTTAGTTTTTCATTTCTGTTGATTTACTGAAATTCATATATTTTGTTTTCCAGTGCAATATAAAAATCGATCAATTTTTATAGGTAGTGTATCCAGAAGCTTCAATAATCACTTAGCAACGTCTAAGCATCATTTTTCTAAAACTCTTAAGTACGCATTGGCTGATTTTCATATTTTTTTTTTTAAGTTTTTGAAAAAGTGAGGTAACTTAGGAATGTAATTTTTACTTTTATCTACCTATTCTTAAATTTTCATCCTTGAAGCAATTTTTTTAGGGTCAGAGTGTTCTTTGATCGGGCTATAAGGCCTATTGATTCTTATTTTTACTACAATATACAAATAACTTTGTTGAATTCCGACAAGAGAACAACTTGGTGGTTCTTAACACATGGTTTAAATTACCAAAAAGACGTCTGTATACGTGGAGGTCTCCTCAAGATTGCAAAGGAAATATTTTGAGGTACCAAATCGACTACGTTACAATTAACAGAAGGTTCCGTAATGGTATTCTAAATGTAAAAACATACCCAAGCTGTGAAATAAATTTAGACCACAATCCTGTAGTCGCAACTATCCAGTTAAAACTTAAAAGAGTAGGTAAGGCTAAACCCAGTCAGAGAATAGCAAGGAGTAGTGCTGGAGAAGTATGAAGACATGGTAGACACGCAGTGAGAGTCTAAGACAATAGATCCCACTAAGGAGAAGGCAATAAAAGAAAACATTGAAGACATGTGGGAGAAAATTAAAAATACTGTCTTGGAAGCAGCAGACCAAAGTACACAGAAAGAAAACCGTAAACAAAAAATCCATGGATGACAAACGAAATATTACAAATTATGGAGAGGAGACAGATAGTAATAAACAAAAACCTAACAAGATACAAGGAACTCAATAGGAAATTGGAAAATTGAGAAAAAAATAAATATAGCTAAGGAAGAGTGGATGAAAAAAAATGTAGAGGTAGAAGATTTGCAAATGAAGCATAAAGGAACTACACAGAAAGATTAAAGAAGTAGCTGAAATATGGAAACCCAAACACTTATCGATTGTAACAAACAAGAAAAATCAAATGCATTTAGACCCTGAAAAACAGAAAGAAATATGGAAGCAATATCTTAAAGATTTGTTTGGTGATCAGAGAACAGAAGAGAGCCCACAAATAGATACAAATGGAAAATGAAACTTTCTCGCCAAGAAGTTTTGCAGGCAATAAAAGACGCAAAAAACAACAAGGCACCCGGCGAAGACCTAATAACAGCCGAATATTTTAAACATCTAAGTGATAATGCTATCAGGAAATTAACATACCTCTGCAACATTATTTATGAACATGGCATAATACCGCATGACTTAACATCCACATATATAGCTCTTCCTAAAAAACAAAAAGCAAGCAAATGTGAAGACCATCGAATTGTATACCTAATGAGTCATGCCGCTAAGATTTTTATTCGAATAATTTATAACTGAATTCACAATAATAAGTGTGAAGAATACCTGAGTCGTTTTCAATATGGTTTTAGACAGGGTTCAGGCACTAGAGAAGCAATTATGGGATTGACACTGATGACAGAAAGGTATCTTGAGGTTCAAAAACGGCTGTATATGTGCTTTGTCGATTATAGAAAGGCGTTCGACCGCATCAAACACGGAAAATTGATTAAGGTGCTAAAAGAAGTAGGGTTGGATGGACACGACATAGCTATCATAAGTAATACATACTGGAACCACACAGGATTCGTTTGAACAGAGAACGGAAACACCAAGTATATCAACATAGAACGAGGAGCGCGTCAAGGGTGCATTTTGTCCTCCCTATTATAAATGTATATTCCGAACATATAATTAGAGCTTCTCTTGAAGATCACCTGAAGGTGCCAGAGTCAATGGCATCATCATTAACAATATAATATATGCCAATGACGCCGTAGTATTAGCAGAAACGTCAAGTATGACATATCAGTATGACGTCAACAAATTAAATTCATTTGGAACATGGATGTACCGCCGAATGTTAAGAATAATCTGGACCAGCAGAACTACGAATGAAGAAGTACTGAGAGTAATGGACACCCCTCATCTGGTCAATACTATCAAAATTAGAAAGACATCATATCTGGGACACATAATGCGCCATATGAAATTTGAGCAGCCTCGGGTAATATTAGAAGGCAATATTGAAGGTATAAGAGACATAGGACGAAAGAAAAAATCTTGGCTACGAAACATCAGAGATTGGACCCACACAAGAGGAAATTAATTCATCCAGCCCAGAACAGAGAGAAATTTGCCATATTAATCGCCAACCTCAATAGAGAAGGCACTTAGGATAAGGAGAAGGGCAGAAATAACTAGAATAAAGTATTTGAGCAGATAATGTACTAACTAATTTGATGTAAAATAAGTCCAATCATCATCCAGTCCCATTTTCACATCCATTGTTGGATATAGGCCTCCTTCAAACGTCTCCAGTTCTCTCTATCTCTAGCTGCTGCAATCCAGTTTGTTTTTATTCTCCTTAGATCGTCGGTCCATCGGGTGGGTGGTCTGCCTCGACTTCGCTTGTCAGCTCTTGGTCTGCACTCCAATAATCTCTTCGCTCATCTTCCTTCTTCCATTCTAGCAACATGTCCATCTCACCTCCACTTTTGTTTATTAATTCGCAGTATAATATCGTCTACGCCAGTTCGTCGGCGTATCTCCTCATTTCTCACGTGATCTTTCAAAGTCAGGTCCAGCATTGATCTCTCCATCCGCCTTTGTGTTACCCTCAGTTTTTCGCCAGTAGCTTTCGGTAAAGTTAGGGTCTGTGCTCCGTAGGTCAACACTGGTAAAATGCATTGGTTAAATGCCTTCCTTTTCAGGTGAATTGGTATATATTTTTTTAAAATGTCTCTCATCCTTCACTATGCCGCTCATCCCAACGTGATCCGTCTATTTAGCTCGCAGGTTTGGTTGTCTCTGGTTATTCTAATTTCATGACCCAAGTTTGTGTATTTATCGATTAATTCTACTTTGTTGTTATTGATCTGTATCTTTTCGCTTGGAACCATATTGGTCATCATTTTGGTTTTCTCGAAATTTATCTCCAGCCCAGTTTCTTGTAGTATGTCATTCAGTTCTTGGAACATGTCTTTGATCTCTCCCAGATTATCTGACAGAAGCACGATATCGTCCGCAAAAACGTAGATGGTTTAATCTTTCTCCATCGATGGATATTCCTTTCTGTTGCCATGTTAGTCTTTTAAATGCATAATCAAGAACGGTAATGAACAGCTTTGGTGACACATGGTATCACCTTGCCTGACTTCCCTTTTTAGAGTCCAAACTGTCACATAATTCAGTTTTTCTAAAAATGTGACTTGGATCAATTCCGGTCTTAACAACCTATATGACCCACTTGCAATTATTACTAATGACGCCCCATAATACATAACACACAATCAACTGGTGAATGTATTAGAGATTGCAAATTATACAGAATTCAATAAAAACGCGGCAACTCATTTCATTCATACTTAATTATTGGAAAATGCAAAATTCACACCAATCAAAACGAATTTGAATACGATACCAGGCCAGCAAACAGGCGTTTACTTATTATTCTTAAGTCTCACGCTACTGCATTCGTTTGTACTACTTCTTTAAATACCCAAGTCGAGACCTGTATACGGTGTTAATAATAACCTCTAATTATCATCCTTTCTCGTGTCTGATTTTTAGATATCATAGAAATTCACTTGTTTTTTAAACGTTCATTCTTCGATTCGTTGTACATGCAAATCTGTTATCAACACCGAATCTTTATAACCAGAGGAAGATAGAAGTTAAAATATACATTCTAAGTCATGCTACACGAATAAAATGCACCATAAATTTTCCATTTATTGCTAATATCTCAACGTGACATTTAGTTATTTTAAAAACATTGTTGAATCTTATAATTGTACTATCTTCATTGCTTCATGCAAGTTTGTGTGAAGGAAATCTATCTACATATAGCGTTTTACGTTATCTACAAACTAATCAAACAAAAATTTCTAACAAATTCAATTTCACTCCCATTTTTATAAGGCTTCAAAGTCTATTAAATTAATATACGGAGTGGATCAAAAGTCTGGAGATGCCCAATTATATCTTAAATGGATGGTCCGAATTGTACAAAAACCGGAATACGCCTATCTGCAATATCATCATAAGTGGTTCGACAATCCGTAGTGGATCTTGGCCCGCTCACAAAGAAATCGCCACTACTGTAGAATTTCTTCCTTGTAGATCTTCTTCCACATCATCAATCCATCTCTTTCGTGGTCGTCCTCTACTTTTTGTGCCCTCTAAATGTTAATCTATTCGTGTATTAGTGATCTGGCATCCTAGCACACAGGGTCATTACAAGAAGAGATTAAACGTAGATGTTATCTAGCAAACGTTGCCACAGCAAAAATGCCCAAAGTATGGAAGGACTGTCAAATTTCAAGAGCGATAAAGATGAGGTTGATCAACTGCTTAATATTCCCAATACTGACCTACGGATGTGAATCTTGGACTCTGAGACAATCGGAGAGAAGAAAGATGGACGATGTTGGACCGACCGCAGAACAAATAATTCAATTTTAAGAGAGCTAAAAGTTAGCCAACGACTCTCTAGTAAAATCCATCTCCAACAATTAAAATATTTTGAGCATGTTATGAGAGCTAACACAGAAAAC